CCCCCCCATGCATGATGGTTGGGGAGTGGGATGAATACCACCCACGGAAGGACACGGGCAGCAAGATCAAATGTGAACCTTCGGGGCTAGCTTCCCAGCCAGCAATGACCAAAGGCTGTTCACCCTGGGCATATGGCTCTGTGGTTAAGGGGAAGTACGATCTCTAAACTGGCCTGGATTAGCTCTACAAAATGGAAAACAGCCTCCATAGCCACTTAAGGAAGGGTTTGGGCCCACTTTGAATTGAATGCAGTGGTGTGCTGTGACTGAAGGGAGATGTTCAAAGAGGAATCTCCACCCTGTTCAACTCTGTGGAATTCTCGCCATGAATGGGCTAAAATAAACTGACTTATCTTGAAATAGAGAATGAAGATATGGAACACTGTCTAGAAGATTAGCTTGGAGACGTGATAGTATGGATAGGAAGGAGACTGCTTTGCAGAGAAGGCCATAACTGAGTAGCCTGCTCAAGATTGAAAAATATACCAAGATTCTTCAGGAGTCTCTGGGCTAATACATTGGTTAAAAACACGAAAAATTGTCAATAGAGCTGGTTTAGTTCTCAAAACATAGTCTCAAAACATAGCTTGCTCTGATTAGGGGGAAACTGTACTATACAAAAAAATCAAAATGTGATGCCTTTTCTCTTGGAAATAGTGGTTCCTTATGTAACACTGTCTGTGTGTTAAGTGTGTTGGAATGTCGTCCGTCAGGCTCACCAGATTCACATCAAGCTTTAAACATATAGGCTTATCATATTTCTAGGCCCCTGATTTGACCAACAACATGGCCACATCAGTGAAATCACTAGCTTTGTAAAAACAGAGTTTAACCGTAGTGTCAGGAACACATATTTTGATGAATCAGCTAACATTGTCCAAATACTCTCACAAACATTTTCCACTCACATAAACTATTTGATTAGAATTTTTGAAGACCATACATAGTTTTTCAAAATAATTCTAAACCCCTAACACTTTCAAAGAATAAAATAAAATAAGTAAAATTTAAAGCTATAAAAATGTCTATACACACATGTAATTCTTATAGAGTTCAGAATATTAAGACAAAGAAACTTCTTATTTCCAATTAATTTGTTTATCTAAATTTTATTCATCATAATTAACTAGTGCCTTATTATAATACTGACTAACTGAGTTAATATAAAATTTTGAATGCTTAGGAATGTAATGAAATATTTAAACTAACATTAATGTTATTAAATAATTTTTCTCACAGAATTTGTCTTCAGAAAATGTACTGTTAAATTTTGAATTATATATGAAAATAGAAAAATGAAATCTGTTGAAATTGCTCTAAGGAGAGGAGAGGGGATGAGGAAGAACAATGGAGGAGGTAAATCTAATTAAGTTATATTGTAGGCACATATGTAAACACTACAATGTATCCCCCTGTACAACTATTGATATGCTAATAAAATTATTTTAAAAAGAGAATGTACTGTTAAAAATGAAAATAACAAAACACAGTTTTAGAAGTGCCAACCAATATCTCTGAAATGCTTTTCTACTTTTTACGGTCAGATGTAACTGACAAAATGATATCAGCATTTGCATTCTTTACTGACAGTCAGTAAATGCCATGACAGTCGTTATAACACCAATGACTATACCAGTAGCTGTATAAACAGCAAAAGAGTACTGAGGTTCCAAGGCCAGGCTCTAACAAGTGTTGATGAAGACTTCCCTAACTGGAAGAGGGCTCTGTGTCAAGGCTACAGATGGAGCTGAGTTCCAAGAGGTGCAAGGGACCCCAAGCAATTACATGAAAAGCAAAAGCTTAAGTCAATCATCCAATGTTTCCCACCATTGCACCAAACATCAGGGTACTAAAAAACATCTCAAGAGATGATTGAATTCTAAACTTTACTTTTAGGTAATTGAGGTCATACTGCTCTTAGTGTTTGCATATCAGTGATGATGTAGACAGTGGCATGCCTTGGACATCTGTGTTGAACTTTCATAGATATAGATATGTCAGTATATATTTACATATATGTGATAAAATATTTATATAATATATAGATATATTCATCACACATAATACATATATGTTATGTTGAGCTTAAAATATAAGTAAAATTGCTGGACGTCGTGGTCCACACTTGTAATCCCAGTACTCAGAAGGTTGAGGCAAGAGAATCACAAGTTCAAAACCAGCCTAGGGTACATAGAAAGAGACCATGTCTCAAAAAAACAGTGAAATTGAGTTCATCTTCCAAATATAAGATGAAAATCAATATATCTACTCTAATTCCTCATGGAGATACTGTAGAAATTGATTTTCAGCAAAACAAAGTAGATTCTGGTAGAAGAACTCTAGTGCCCCAAGGTATTATTACTCTTTTTCAGTATTAATTTGACTATCAAATTCTGAATTCTAGGTGGTTGTGACACCAAAAAACCATTTTTTGTGGTACTAGAGTTTGAACTCAGGACCTTGCACTTGCTAGGCAGACACTCTACCACTTGAACCATACTCTAGTCCTTGAAATTTTTTGAAATGGTTTAGTAATCCTTAGCGTTAAGTGTTTGGTAAATGAATGAATGAATGAAAATAGAACAAATGAATAAATGAATAAATAGTATTACAGTTCTTACCCTGTGGGGTTGTAGTCTGATTGTCAACTATGTGTTTCCACTTCTTAGAAATACCTCCACAGTTTGTTTTACTCTGGTTTAGTGTCTCAACAAACTACAAAATTTAGAGGAGTATTTTCTGGGATTTAATGGGAACACAGAAGCAATCAAGTGATTGAATTCTGGATTTTTCCAATTGAAGGGCATTCCTTTATCCATAGTGATTTGAGCTTTGGCAAATTCAATTGTTGATACCACCTGGATTAATTTTAAGTCTTTCTGAAGCTTTAGGGGAAAAAAAAGCAACATATGAATCTCATCAATTGAAAACTAAGAATCGTTTCAGTGGGGTGTGTAAAACAAGAAGCTGACCAGCATCGTTTTCTCTTTCTTTAATTCAGTATCGTTAGTGAAAGTTATTCTTGAATTTATGAAAACCAGATTGGGGCATAAGCATGTTCTCCATCGAATCGTGTTCAAGGAATTGGAACTGAAAATCATTCAAAGTAGGAAAATATGACATTGAAAAATAGTCTACATTCTTTATTCTACCTCAGGGTATCTGTAACTGTTTCTGTCTAGGAGCCCTAAGGGTTTTTTGGTTTTTTTAAAAGTGGACATTTAGCTTACCAGTCAGAAAGATGTCATGATTTTTTTTCTTTGATCACTATTTTGCTGACTTATCATCTTGAGCCTTTGATCTTCATACTTATTTACAAAAAATCTGTGATTTCTCATCATTGCTTACAGAAAAATATTCCAAAAAGTACCATTCAAGGCCTCCTCTTGTCAGCCCAAGACATTTCAGCCACATTTCCTGCCTCTTCCATGACTCTTCCCGAGCCAAACCAGACTGTGAACACTTCACACATCTCTTATGCTTCTGCTTCAAGCCCTTTCTTCTTATTAATCTCATCTCTCAGAAATGCCCTCTTCTCCTCTCTTCTTGCTGAGTTTCCCACATAGACTTTAAGATGCAATACATCTCCTTCTATGAGATCTTTCTTACCATCCTGCCCTTCCCACCCCCTCTCCCTCTACCTAAAATAAATCTCTCCCCACCTTCACCCCCTGCCACACACATACAGAGAAACTCACATACACATGTGTCTATGATTCAGTCCTGAATTACATTCAAGCTGCTACTTATGTGTACAAGTCATGCCCTGCACAAGGATGTCAAACTCAAGGGACTGATGGGGATGAAAATCCATCTTCCTCTCTACTTACCAATGTGTGTGCCATCCCACGTAACCATGACCTTGCCAAAGGGCACCAAAGAGGCACCTTTTTCTATTTCCACAAAGGCACCATATCTAGCAGCAGCTTTGCTCATCTGAATGCTTTTTTTTTTCATTCCCTTCACATGAACTCAAGTTTGTTGAGCGCAATAGCTGCTTTTTTAAGCATACCATTTTTGGTATCATTACATCAAAATCATTATATCTTTCTTACACATAGTAAGTTCTCAATCACTGTTCATTGAATTAAATTGAAGGAATGAAATGTGTTTATTAAAAACTAGTACTTCCACCTACAAATGCAAATATGGAAAGTGTGACAAGAATCAAAAGGGACTTAGCGACAAGAATCAAAAGGGACTTAGCAGATGTGGAATAGTAACTTGTCTGATTTTAAGTGCACTAGCTAAATAATTTCATACAAATGGTAGTGCTCAGTAGTCTTTTGTGGAATTTCAGAAACCACATTTGTGATATTATGACAGACCATGGCAAAGTTGGACTAAAATCCATTTCTGTCTGTTTGTTAAAATAGGCAAAGGATAACATTAAAAATTGTCTGAAGTGGGCAAGATAAAGGTTAGGGAGAATACCCATGGGAGGTGAGGGAATTTTGGGAGGAGCCTACTGAATCAGTATGAGATCAGTTTACTTTCTAGAAGTCTACATTAAGCCAAAAACAAAAATGGGAAAAAACCCCCTTCAAGCTACATTACTCTGCCTTTTCCAACACCACAATAGTGTAACTTACTGTGGCTGTGCCTAGGAGTAAAGGATTGCTTTGTAAGGGTCTCAGTGGAGAATTAATATTGGTTCTGGAGCAATTTCACTTGGGAGGTAGGAACTGTACATGAAACATGCTTTTCAGACCACAGAACAATGATGTACTTAAGATAGGTTTTATGCCTATTTAATGACATAGCCAAGACTTCAAATTTCACAATTCAAGGGGTAAACCATTGGCCGACCTCTCAAGAGGAAGTCCGGTGTCAATGTACTACTAACTATGGCTTTCATACTCCCAAGCTTTAATCTGCTTTATGTTTTGTAAGATGTACCGGGTTCATGTGATGAACTGTTTTCCCTTCAGGAAGAAACAAGAGATAATGGTCTGTTCTACAACCATTTCACAGTGTGCCTCTCTCCGTTTCCTTCATAGTCCTCTGTGATGTCAGTCTGCTTTGCCCGTTTCCATCCTAATTTGGTGGTTGGTGGGACTTACTCAGGCCAGATTGTCCTCTGGGATAATCGCAGTCATCGAAGGACACCTGTCCAGAGGACCCCCTTGTCAGCTGCTGCACACACAGTAAGTCAAATTTTTGTCACACTTCTCTCTATTACTCATCCTTGAAAGAGGAAAGAGCCCAAATGTATGGCATTCAAAAATTCACAACAGTATGGATGTTGTCAGTAACGCCAAATTTGATGCATTTAATCTGTGGTGATTGTACTCTGACTAAATAAAGCTGAATGAAAAGTGAGAGAAGACTTTCAAGAAATCTCTTAATATACAAGTTCTAACACAGAAAACACCTCCTGTGATGTCCCAAAGGTCATGGGTGACAAGGATTAAAACTGAAATAGGACACAGAGAGAAACTTTAGATTGTTGAAATTATTTGCCTAAAGAAGGCCTTCACTTTTATATTACAAGGTGAAAAGCCTATTTTCAAACAGATTGTGTAAGCAGTTCATGCTTGGGGATGGTGCATGGGACATTTGCCAATAGGCCTTTTCCTTTCTTGTGATTTGCATGAGTACTGTGACTTTAAATTCTGGAATGTGTGGTATAAGCCTCAACATAAAGTCTATAGTGACAATTTAATCCCTAGGGTTAAAAGTCAACATCTCAAAACCATTACCCATAATTTAGCAGAAGGGGTTCAGTATAGTGCTCATAAGACAACTGCTCTGTCATTTCCTCTAAGAGAATGACAGGTGTGTTAGGAGGAATGAGAAGACAGGCATGTCTCCATCAATCCTTCCTACCTTGACATTCAGGGTAGCTGATGGTCTTTCTCTGAAATGCCCAAATTATGCCCAAATATACAGATCTACTATTGTTTTCAATTTCCTTAATGTGGTTGCTTCATTTGTTTCATCTGTTGGCCTCAGAACCATTCTGGCTTGAAAAAGGACTGCTAGGCTGCTTTAGTTAATACCACAAGGAGAAAAATTCTTCCGCTCTTATAAGGTTGACAATGGAAAATGACAAATACCAAGTCAGTCCTAATTTTGATTGATGGGGGACAAAGACATATGCAGGTGAAACTAGTTCTTGGGAATCTTGGGAAATTACTCTTGCCTGCACTATTTCTCCAAACTAATAACAGAAAATTGTGGCCCAGGAGAAGTTGGACTTGATGCAGGTGTTTTCTCAAGTAGTGAAAAACCATTTATTGGCTTTATGTGGATGTCTAGTGCACTTGTGAACATACCTTCCAAAATTTCAAAAATTATAAATCCAAATGTGCAGAGCATTTGGAAATAAGCTTGTGAGGGAACATCCAATTCCAGGAGTTCTTCTAGAAGAGTTAACAGTTCTTTTTCATGTAACATAGAGTGTGACCATCACAACTAAAACACTATAATCAAGCCAAGTGGCATTATTTCTGTTAGAAAATAAAAACAGGTTTCTTTTCTCTTTTACTGTGTTTTGTCTAATCCTTAACTAAAAGTGTACAGTTAATTATGTGTTTGTCTTTCAACTTCCATTATTGCCTGGCTGATTGGTACCAGGATCAAAAAGGGAAAAGAGGTCCACCACAGATTACTCCCTAATTCCCTTTTACACCCACCACACATATGCATTTGGGACAACAGGAAATCATAATTAAAACATAATCCTTCTGCCACACAGTAAGTTTATTCCTAAAATAAATAAAAACAATCTGGCATTTATACTGGAAAAATGAGCTATATTGTTTCTTTTTCTTTCCATTAAGTAGAAAGTAGAAGTGTGTGTGTGTGTGTGTGTGTGTGTGTGTGTGTGTGTGTGTGTAGCAGTGAAATTGTGTAAGTATGCCCCAGGGTTGTCAGTACAGGTTTCTCTCTCTCTCTCTCTTTCTGTCTTTCTCTGACAAAGTTTTATTACCCATGAACACACAGGCCAGTAGTACTGGTTAAATAAAGGGACTCCCATACCTACTTCTTGTCTGGGCCTTTGGCTCTATGATTCTTCCAGACTTGTTTTCTCTACCTAATGCATCCTTAGGTGTTTGGATCTATTAGCATTTTGGTGATGTGTGTTGATATTCTCGGTGGTTAACAGAGAAGCCCCTTTGGATTCTTATTGAAAATACTAGATGGATTTCAAGTTCATAACAATGTCTAGGCCATGCTTTCCAGTCATGAGGCTACAGAAGGATCAGTTCAGAGCAGAGCCCTCTGGGATCAGCCAGATCAGGTGAAAACATGGCAGCTTTTTGAATGTTCATTCATTACTTAGTCTGCTATTTTTAGGTGAGAACCTGTTATATCCATACTTTCATTTTATTTCCACACAAGGCTTTGAATGCTGGGTGACTTGGAGGTTGACTTTGACTGCGTAGGAAAGATCACTGTCTGCAGTTGCACACTGATCAGTCCCTTTGATACACAGAGATCTAGTCAGGATAGCATTTAGTTTCACATCTCTGCTGTGCTTACCGCTGTACAGACTGAATTAGGCTGACTCGTTTAAAGGTCTCAGGAGGCACGTGGCATCATGCTGTCTGTCAGCATAGGTGAAAGAGGTAACACTGTTGTCATAAAAGCAGATGTAATCTCAGGATACATTAATACAGGCATATTTTTATCAAATAAGAAGTGCCAATTCAGTGCTAGCCACAGTTCCATATTTGGTGGTCATGACATGGTAGACAATTCTGTTTTATTCCCGGAACTTCACTGTTAGAAGAACTCCGATGAAAGACAGTGCACGGAAGAGAATGACTAGGATGAGAAATGCTTTGATAATCAGGTACCCAAGGAGGAGCAGAAGGAATGGATGATGTTTAGTCTAAGGCAAGACTTAGAGGATGGGAGTGGGGAATATAAAACAACCATTTATACATATTCAAATAGTTGTATTGCTTTGACCCTTTCTACTTCATTCCAGACAGCCTTGCAGTGAAAGTGTCTCTGTGAACTTTCCTTATCCCCATTAGTAGAAGGAAACACTCCCCAGGAGTTAGCACTAAAATTGGCTACCCTTTATGCAAGGTGTTTAAGTGGAGTTTGGACCACTTCTTGGTTGAGGCAGATGAGCAGCTTCACTGAATGATTTTGGCCGCTCCTTCTGACCAGGAGTTTATATGATAATAACAGTCTGGGAACCATCCTCTATATAATATCAGCTTCTAATATTAATGGTTGCTTCATTATAGTTGTGGCTAGGTATTATGACAGTAACTCATCAAGAGTAAGACTTAGACCATCAGCTATTTGCACAGAGAAGCATCTAGTAAGTTGTGGTTTGGCCATTCGTGGCTAATCTGCCTGAAATCTAAGCCAAACTGCTGCTCATTTCTGCTTATGCTAACCTTCCATTTGGTGTTTAGCATGCAGCTGCAAATGGTTTTAGCCTACTGTGTAGAATTCTGCAGAATGGGATAGCTGACAAGAGTTACAACAGAAGGTTGCTTAGCATACCCAGGATGTATAAATGACCTTTCTCAAGGCCCTGGTCAAATCTAAGCCTCCATACTATGCCAAATGGTATTTTAAAAAATATATCCATCATTAGCCTAGATTTTGCAATAACAAAAGAACCTAATTTTATCTCACTAAGTACATTGTGACACCACCATCTCTCCCTCAAATTAAAAAGGCTGATGAATATTAACCACTTTTTAAAAAAGAATGCTACAAATGTTTGGTACTGTGACTACACTGCATTGCACTCCAGATTTAGTAACACACATTTCTTCCAAAAGTCAATAGTGCTACTCTTTTGAAGACTGTCTTTTCTCATCACTCACATTATGCTTAAAAGCTAAACTGGGTGATGGGGACTTATTCAAGTAATCCAAATTTACCTCCCTCTGTTGCTTCTGCCCCATCAGTCCTCATTTGCCCTCATTCCTTTCAGTTCTGTTGCAGTGCATAGACTGAGCAAGGTGTGGTTTGTCTGTGTTTCCACTACAGTGTGTTGCTGCCAGAGCTTTTAGAAAGAAATCAAGTTGAAATCAAAAGTGGCAAATGACCTGAAGATTATGTCATTCTTTGACCCTCATTTTAGAGTAACAGCTTTGACACTCAAATGTAATCATTTCCTCTCGTTTTGGCACCTGATCCTCCACGTTGATGTTTTTGCAGCATCCTGTGTACTGTGTAAATGTAGTTGGGACCCAGAATGCTCATAACCTCATCACTGTCTCCACCGATGGGAAAATGTGTTCCTGGAGCCTGGACATGCTCTCAACTCCACAGGTGGGTCCCTTTTACCCTGCACATAAAGGCATCCTGGTTAAGAGAGAGCCCTACTTAATGGGACATAGTTCCCAAATGCCAAACCCTCACGTCCTATAGGAGGTAAAACCAATGGATGCACTTGAAAGAGGGGCCCTTGTTTCAGCAGTCTCCTCTTGAAGCCAAAACCCATTTCCTTTACCACAAATCATGTAATTATTGTAATACGTTAATCCCTAGGTCAGTTTCAAGTGAAAATGAAATAATCCATTTTAAAGCTTGGTAATTATGGATGTTGCCTGTGGTAAAAAGTTGTACTTACCCTCCAGCATTGTGAAACAAATGCAAATGAGGCTGGAGCTGCAAAGCTATCCCTTCTGGGTTCTAGCCTTGAAGGAAAGGTATCCCAGCAAAACAGAAACCCAAGCCCTTGCTTGTTTCTGTACCCTAGACAACCGCCTGTGTGTCTGAAGAATTTGTCAAACCATCTGTTTTCCGCTCTGGAATGTTTGTTAGTATGGCTCCTGCCATTCCTAGCTCAACAAATGAGAAGTTGAAAATGAAAAAGTTCCAATGTTTCCAAACCACTACTGATTGCGGTAATGGAAACCAAACAAAGGGGCAGGAGTGGAGGAGAATGCTGGAGGCAGGCGTCTAAATGCAACTTTCAGAACATATGTATGTATACAAGCAAATACAGAGACACATACATGCATGCAAAAATGCACACACACACACACTTTTTCCATGCTTCTTTTTGTGAAAGAAAAAGAACTTCACTATCCTCCAACTTAAAGCCAGGAAGAGTTCCTTGTTACAACTTTTGACAAAAGTATGAGAAAACATAAAGAAAATTGTAAGATATCTAGATGATAATTCTCAGTTTTAACATTCCTCTTTCCTGTCCCGGAATAACAACTCTAGAATGTCTCTGAACTCAATTTTGAAAGACATAAAAATTTCAAAATACATAAAGAAATATGGAAAGTGTGAAGAACCTCTTGAAGTCTCTCATATGTACAGAATACTAAAAGAAGTAAGTTCTTCGTATAATTTTAGAGGGAAAAGAGAGTGCTAATAAGCTGCTTATACTCTAAGTTCCTGTTTTTGCTGATCTTTAACATTATACAGGCCTGGAGTTGTATGCAGATATTTTATGGTTTTTGTCTTGAAGTCCCTAGCAATGTGTAGGTTTCTTTTAAAAGCATGGAGATTATAAACAGATATGAGCAAACCCTCTATTTAGGAATTTTTAATTACCCATTTTACTGATTAAACATGTGTTTGTTTAGTTTAAACCAGTGGTGCAGAGGCTCCAAGACCTTTTTTATTAGTGTTAGATGCCCACAGACGCCTGTCTCTTCACAGAGATTGAGAGATTCGTGGCATGGTCTCTGTGCATGGCAGGGAAGAGCGGAGACATCCCATAGTTGCCCTGGTCTCTTTCTCCCCCAAGTGGGTGACCAAGAGTCATTACTTCCTTGCTGCCAACTTTAGGGATGGAGCAGACCATTGGATGTCCAGTTTTCTGTACTGTGTTGTCACAGCTTCCTCCCCTTCAGCCTGGATACTGATGTGCCGTCTACGTGTTGATTCGTGAATGGTGAGCAGGTCACAGTGTGGCTGCCCATCCTCAGCCTCCGTTTCAGATTCATGGACTCCATGGCTGAAATGGCCTAGTTTGTTTGCACTGGAAAGACCAAGCTCCCATAAAACTACAGTGCTACCCCAGAATGATTTTCTAATTAATTTCAGATATGAAGATATTACTTGATGTAATCAGTAATACTTAAGGACATTGTTATACTAATTATTCTTCACTGTCATTAAACTTACTTCAGCAGTATGACTTTGAAATACTCTCTAATTCCCAACTTAACAATTCATTTTCTATAAAATAAAGCTTTCATTTATGACTTTAAGCACTTATTTAAACACCATTCTTTGCAGGCAGTCCATACACCCACCAGCTGCCCTTCGTGAAGTTTAGTTCCTGTCGAAATCTGGTTTTTATGACCTGAGTGACAATTTTCTGGTTTCAGTCCATGAAGGACCCACAGTCCTGCTTTGACAAATGTGTTTAGTACATCTGATATTAATACATGCGTATTCTCACGAACAATTGATTTTGAAAATGTTTGTAAATACAAGGGTATTGTGTGTTTTATTAAAGCCTGGGGCTGACAAGCGTAATCATTACAGTATTATCTTTAGTTTCTGCACCATTAGTTTCAAAATTCTCACCTGTCATCTCTGCCTGACTTAGGAAGCTGCAGCACAAGCTGATGAAATCCAGCCGGCCTGAAACCAGAGATACACAGCAGCCTCAATGTCAGGGGCAGTAAAGCGTGGTTTCTGGCACAGCCGGGGTCTTTTGTAACGCTGTGTGAAAAGCAAACAGACAATTTAGCCAAATGATTTTTCCGTGCTATCTTTGGCATGGCAAGGAGTTGACAGATGGAAATGTAACCACACCATGTTTTGGTAGGAGAGCATGGAGCTGGTGTACAATAAGTCCAAGCCTGTTGCTGTTACTGGAATGGCTTTCCCAACGGGAGATGTCAATAACTTCGTGGTTGGCAGTGAGGAGGGTACAGTCTACACAGCTTGTCGTCATGGAAGGTGATTTTCTGTTTTCTTACCCATGGCCTGTTCCACATTTCCGAAAGTCTGCTATCACATTCTGGATTATAACCACCTTGCATAATGAGAAATGTATTTCAGAAGAAATGCAGAGCACAACTTCAGGTCTTCGTGAACTTAAAGCACACGTGTGTTTTGGTCTTTAGCCATTTATAAGTCTTTGAGGGTTCCCACCGTCTGGAGGAAAAATGTTCAAGGTAATAGACTGTCATGTAAGACTGCCTGCCCCTTCAGCCTCATCTCCTTCACATATGTTTCCGTTTCAGTCACCTACTCATCAACAATCCCCAAATGTTGCCTATCCATCCATGCTTCCATGACTTTTTAACTTCACTTTCTGCCATTTGGTCTAGCGTTTCTCTCTTCTTTGCCTGATTAATTCCTTCTCATCATTAAAGAGCCAGCCCAAAGATCATTCCATGTTCAAACCTTTCTGACTCTCTTGAGCAAAGAAAAACATTCTCTCCTTTATAACCTGGAGAATTTTCATCTATTTTGTTCATTCTTTCAAGGAATAGTTGCTAAAAATCTACTCTGCACCAGACACCACAATAGGAACACAGTAAGGAATATGACAAACGTAGAGTTCATGCTTTAGCTGAAGATAACTAATAAGATAGTAAATAAATAATTTACCATGATAAGTGCTATCAAGAAATTAGAGTAAAATATCAGGGTAGGAATATAGGTTGTCAAGTTTATTTTTTCACTTATTATTTTCTTTTTTTGCAGTACTGGAGATTGAACTCAGGGCCACTGCATGCTAGGCAAATGCTCTACCACTTAAGCTATGTCCCCAGCCTTATTTAATTTATTCTTCTATGTACTTCTACAATAACATTAATCACATTTTATTTCAATTATTTGTTCATCTGAAAATTTTCTCTTACTAACCTATTCCCATTTCATCTTTGATTTCCTGCCCAATGTCTGGCAACATAGTAAGTAAAGAGCTAAAAGTCTGTAGAGCAAATAAAGAAATGACAATATGCAAGTAGTAAAGTGCCTTAAGACCCTTCCTCCCAGTTAGAGGAGCTGAAACAGTAAGAGAGACACAAACCACTGTGTAGTTTCCAGGTGAAGGACCCTCCTTTGATGGAGAGAGTGGCAGATGTCCCTAAAAAACAGAACTGTGAGAGTGAAGTGGATTCCAATAATTTGGCTAGATGGCAAAATTGCGTGAAAAACTAAACAGGTGGCCTTCCATCTTTTGAAAGGATCACTGTGTTCACATCAATGTTTAATTTCTCTTTTACTCCACAGTTCATATTCAATTGATTTTTTTCATTCTTTCACTCTTCCCAACCTATTTAGATTTAATGGGGAGACATAAGTTGTTTGAAGTTCATTGTCCCACCGTTTTATGATTTGTAGAAGTAACAGATATCCATGGCTTAGCTACTTGATTTTTTCCATTCAAATGGGACATGCTGTGATGTTTCTACTGTTCTTGTTTGTAAACAAGCAGTATTTACCCTGCTTACATGACTAAGATGACTTAGAAAGACGTACCTCACAGTTCCATGTCCTACATTCCTGCTACAGAAAATCATGCAGATGTCTTTTAAACCTGGTTCCTGTCTTCAGGAAACTGATGACAGTAGGAGAGACAATGTACAAATATCTGTAACACAAGTAGAATGCCACGAATAGCACATGAGACACATAGTGGAGCAGGCCAACCAGTCACAACTTTATCTGCGTGTGTATTAGAACTGACTTACTCCGGGGTATCACCTGTGAAAGGAATAGAACACATTTGTTGACATTTTTCAACTTTTTAAAGTTTCTGTATTGTGAATAACCTTCTGCATGGTGAATATTTTCATTCTGTGGTTGCTGTCCTTTTCAAACACAACCAGAATGCAATTGTTTTTCAAAAGGGGCATCCCCATGGCACACAACAAAAATCTCTTTACAAGGAACTTGATTTTGCCTTTTACATGGGTCCATCAATCTAAAATATAAAATACAAATCTTAGAAAAGTAGCAAGCATTGACTTGGTAGTAATTTTAAATGGGTCATACAGGGATACAGGGGGAAAGTAGGGATTTCTATTTTCCACCTAACATAGAGAAGGTGCAAATCCACTTCCATAAATTAAACAAGGTCCTTATTTTGCACCCTATAAACTCTTTCAGGATGCTGTTAAGAGCAAGTGGAGTCTCAGCAGGGGCCACTTCAAAGATCAGTTTCTTGTGTTCATTAGAACCAATTTAAATGATCATATATGAGACTACTGTTAGCAGTTTCACTGGGTGTAACACACTCCGTAGCATTTTGCTCAGCACATTGGTATTTATCGGTGCTCTAGGGGCTCAAATGTTTTAATAACTGGATTCATTTTCACTCTTAGTGACATAATATTGAAATCCCACAATCCTCATATTTTTGTCATATTTATAGCTTCATGCACATGAATTTTCTTAATGGCATTTTTTTCAGATTTTCCCAATTGCATTTGATTATATGCAGACTATTATGTGATAATCCAGGACTGGATATAATCCCAGTTTGGTTAAATAAGTGGAATATGTCTGAGAGTAACATTTAAAATGTGTATCACTATTTTTCCAGTGTGCTTTTGTTTTTTAAGGTGGCATTCATTTGTCTCTCTTGCTTTGCTATTTCATTCAACAAATATTTATTGAACACTTTTACTGTGTACTAGACACTTGGTAATAAGACAAGATATCTTCCTTTATGGAATTTACATGGACTTGTAAATCTCTCTTCTGTTTTCAGTGAACTGAAAATATAATTTTCTCCACATTGTATTTAAACTATGTGCATTAGTTTGTGGTAACAAAGATTTCTACAAACTGTTAGGTTTTTAGGCATGTCAACCTAATTTAAGAAACTTCCTTGGAAGAATAAAACATTATTCTTCCAAAGATGTATGGAGTTTTGCACCAACCAGCTCCCCAAAAGGAGTTAAAATGGCACATGTGCAAAATGCCTTCTCAAGAATAGAAATCTCAGGCTGGAGGAGTGGCTCAAGTGGTAGAATAACTGCCTAGTGAGCACTAGGCCCTGAGTTCAAACCCCAGATCAGCCAAGGGAAAAAAAAAAAAAACAAAAACACGAAGAAGAAGAAAAGAAAGAAGTCTCATTGTAAACAAATATGAAGGCTTCTGAGCCAAGTATGCCTCCATCAAAATAGCTGCATCAACCTCACAAGAATTGTGAAACTCCTGAATAGGAATTAAATAAATTATATTATTAAATTCTGCAGATTTAAAAGGTTATGGTGCCCTCAAACTGTTTCTTAATCAGCAACAGGAGTATAATATGCTTGCAGCCAATTTTGTTTTCTCAAGATAGCTGTGAAAATGGTTCATTTTGGGGGATGCATGGTAGTTTTCTAAATTATGAAAAGATAATCATACAGATATCAGAGGTTTTTAATCAATTCCTGCGTTGCACAGGTCACTGAAATTCTGCTCATATGTGTTCTTTCTACAGCAAAGCAGGAATTGGTGAGGTCTTTGAAGGTCACCAAGGGCCAGTGACAGGAATTAACTGCCACATGGCAGTGGGTCCAATTGATTTTTCTCACCTGTTTGTAACATCATCATTTGACTGGACTGTCAAGCTGTGGACCACAAAGGTAAGAATAGCCTGATTGAAATTCTCAGGTACAATAGAGGGAAAGAGGATGGTTTTTGTATTCTGTTGTAGAGTTGTAGGGAACAGCTATATCTGAAGCTACATCTAGGTGACATGGCACTGGAGTTTCATACAATCCCCTTGTGAGTTGCATCTGCTCCAGAGCTAGTTAAGGCCTACTTTCTCAGTTCATCCTAGTTGTTTTAGATATCTGATAAATACTTGAATCTAGTTGTAAAATATTTACGTGATTAGAGTACTTGAAAAACCAAGCCTTCCTTTACCAGCACTAACCCCACACACCAGTTCAGTGTTAATCTTCCGGAGTTTTGTGGCATCTACTTATTTACACACAGGCCTGTGGAAATACATGCTTTGGGTATTGAGTTGTTTGTTTTATTATTTGGTTGTTTGGTTTGTTTTTGTGTTTGTTTCTTGAACCTTGTGAGGAGACTGAAAGAAACCAGCCATTCTCTTACATTGCTTTTGAAAATGCAAAATGGCACATTATGGATCTGGCAGTACCTAAAAGTACTACATGTCTTGACGAAGCAATCCCACTTCTGGGAATCTACGCCAAAGGCACTAGCCAAAATAACAAAAGGATGTATGCAGAAGAATATTCCTTGAAAGATGAACTAAATAACAAAAGGCGAGAAACAACCCAAAAGTCTACATTGATCAGATACTGTGAATCAAAGTAGAAAAAAAAAAATGAAGAAGACTTATCCAAACTATTTTGGGGTGACCTCTAAGAAATATCTTTAAATTAGAAAATCCAGATGGAGAGAAATACAAATAATATTTTTCAGTATTTACAATTACATTTACATATTTTAAAAAATTGAATGGGTAAACCACACATACACCTATTACCTAACAGGGAGGCAAGGGGGTAAAAGAAACAAAGACAACAATCAGACTTCTTTGAATACGCCTTGTTTATACACTTGATATTGGAATCATAAATATTTTATGTAGTTACAAAATTAAATAAGCTTTACAATTATTCCTAAAAAATTTAGAGTAACATGAAATGAATTACTATTGAGTGGTTCAAATTGGTAGTAAAACCTTATAGTAAGGAATGGTTTGAAGTGACTTTAAAACCCTGAATTTTGAATATACATTTCTAAGGAAATGTGTTTCAAGGAAAAATATACCAAAATAGTCTTAAACTAGTTGTAGTACTGTTATTTCTGATGGCCATATTATTATTGTTATTCTGACTGCTGTATTTGTACCATGAGATAAACAACTATGTTGGTATCATTGAGAACTGAGATTGTTAGCTTGTCTTAAAGGAAATACAAATTCATAAAGTTAATTAACAATTCTGTAGCAAGCCTGACTGTGAGTTGGAAGTACCAGTGAGAATTTGTGGTATATATTGTCTTTAAATCCAAAAGACTACCATTCACTGTTCTATCTGCCAAAAAGCTCTAGAAACAACTGCGAATTTAGTAGAAAAGATTCCAGAGCCCAGAGTATGCTCCCTAATATAAGTTCCACTGAAGGAAACCAGGGATTCCAGAAGTAATTACTGACTGATTTTATATCCAAAACAAGAAAAGTATGAAAGTCTGTCATAACAGAAAGCTAACAAACACTACAAAGTTTTTGTCAAAGGACTTGGAAACCAAGTTGAGTAAAATTCTGATGGGTAGTAGGTTTATGAATTTATAATAACACTGAAAAATAAAGAAAACCTTATTGGCTACCTTAATAAAATAGTAGGCAAACCAACTCATTATTTTTAAAACCAGTAAGTAAAGAGCACAACATTTATTCTGTCTCTTTCATAGTATTTACTTTCAGAGTTACAAAACAGTTGAGAGTTTTTCTTTATAGAAAAATTCTGGCCAATATAAGAATAAGTTTATAGTATTTGAATATCATTTTGCAGTCCCTAGTATCAGATATAGGCAATAATTATGGCTGATAAGGTTATAAAAATAGAAGCAACCTTCATAATTATGGAAGCAGACATATAACATTTAAAGCAGGCTTGTCCATAAGAACAATTCTGAAACTTATCAATCCTCTAGCCCCCCTGACTTTAAAGGCAATAAGAAATGCAGATTACAAATGTTAATAACACTTCAGGTATGCAATTGGTCAAGTCCAGACTGTGGGAAATGTACAGGCAACTGATTTCATTTCTGCAATAAAACTAAAGAAAAAATATAGACTGATGCCAGTGATTTGATCAAAATAAGCAGTTTGGGAAGGGGAGAGCTTAGATATAGATGAGTAAGATTGGCTATTATTGTTAATTGTTGAAGCTGGGTGATTGGTATTACCTATCTCTGAATATGTTTGAAATCTTCCGTAATAAACTAAACAAACAAAAAAAAAGAAGATTGAGTAACAATGACAAATGTTTCAGAAATGAAATGTGTTCATTGTATTTATCAACTCAGAAGCCACTGGTACTCATGACAAATACAATTTCTCTGGAGTGTATTAAGGATGTGACACAACTTATAATGGGTCAAGGACTAAGTGGAAAGTGAGAAGGCACTGAAGAAAAATCGAGACCTTTTTTTTTTTTTGAAAGATTGTAGAGACTCTTGAGAATGTTGCTGTTGTAGAAGAGCCAGTAAAAAAGAAGAGCAGAAAATCTGTAAGTGGAAACTTGAGAAAGGGCCATTAAAATGTTGACATAAATGGGATCCATCAAGTGAATTTTAAATTTGAACAGTGATATCTCTTCTGATGTAACAGAAGAGCAGGAAGGATGAGGTGAAATAGGTATGTATAGGTTTAGTGAATGAAAGCAGAGCAAACTGATGCTGGCTATTTTCTTAACAAGGTAAGGCATTCTATATTCTGCTGAGTGGTAAGTGGAGTACTAAAGGGAGCAGATTTTGGCTGGTACAGAGGAGAATAAGAGGAGATGATTAGGGAACAAAGATGGGCTCTGGGCAGTGTCATGGACCTAGTGGCAGTAGGAGGACAGTGTGTTTTAGTGGCATCATTCTTCAGGGCTGATTTCCTCCTAGAGAGGTCACAAGTACAAAGATGACATGGATGAGGGTGACAGGAGCCTTACCAAACGGTGAGGGAAGGACAATAGAGCATGGGATTTGAAACTATGGACAACAAAACACTTGATGTTATAAGCTGAAGCAGAAAGGAAGGACAATGACACACACGGAAAAAAGTAAAGGGAACAAGGGGTTAGAACCCTTATAAGATCAAGGAACAGATGTGAAGAGAATAATTGAGTTAGAGAATTAGTAAAATAAGAGACTGTTGACAGAAAGTGAAACATTTGGATTTAATGTAGCACAACCAGAGTAGTTCTGAGTGATTTTTAAAGGCGGGGGAAAGAGGGCCAGGGTCATGGCTCAAGTGGTAGAGCACCTACCTAGTATGTGTGAAGCTCTGAGTTCAATCCCCAGTACCACCAAAAAAAGAAAGAAGAGGAGGAATAGAAATCAAGAATGTGCTCACTGTGTTTGTTAGTTGAAATGCAGTAAAGATGAAATTCACTAGATAGATGCCATAAAGACAAAGGCCAAGGTGCTGTGCAGCCTTGGAGAAAACAAGAATAACAGCTACATCAGGTGTGATGGGTAACCTTGACTGGATTGAAAAGCACCTAAGACTAGTAAAGTAACCTTCTGGGTGTGTATGCAAGGGCATTTCTATAGAGGATTAACTAAGAGGGGAAGACTTTACCTGAATGGGCAGAGACATCCCACAGGCTGGGAGCCCAGAAGGCATGAAGGAAGCACAGGAGAAAGCTCAGAAGCACAAACATTCTCTCTCTCTCTCTCTCTCTCTCTCTCTCTCTCTCTCTCTCTCTTTGTCCTCTCAATGGTGTGAGCTGCTCTACTCCACACCCTCCCCATTAAAATCTCTGAAACCATGGACCAAAAATAAATTTTTTCTCCTTTAAGCCATTTCTTTTGCATATTTGTTATAGTAACATGAAAACACAGTATGATGGAAAAAGGGGCAGTGATTGCAGTGCTGAAGTGCCCAGTGAAGCAGGGGAGATCAAAAGAGGTAAAGGTTGATGAAGTCAGATGGCTGAGTTTAAAAGAAGCAGGACTTTTTCCTGGAGCTGGGGAAAACTGAAGTAGTCCCAGAGAGCAAGTAAGAAGTTGGTCACTTTCTGTGTTAAGACAATGCATGATGATGAATAGCTTCAACTTGAGGATTAGCTTCACAGCTGAGACAGGAGAGGAAGTGGAGAGTTTATGGTAAGTCTAGAAGTCCACTGAGGCAGGCAGTAGAGAGAGCTACTAATGAGAAGGCTTAGTATTTACTATGGAATGAGAGACCCAGTGTAGGCAGAGAGCATAGTAGAAACATCTTAAAATGAGGGAGCTGAGTGGTTGGTCCAAGTAACATAATGACTAGTAGATACGTCTAGAAAATTCTGAGACCCCCCCACCAAGAAAAGGGAGGAGTGGATGAAAAAAAAAAAAAGGAGGGAGTCTGGAGTTCTGAACAGGAATTCTAGCAAATTAAGGACAGCAGGAAGGGAGAGAGAATTAAAATACATTGCAGAATACATATCCACCCCCATCCCACCCCTGACCACACCAAGTTTCATCATGAAACCGCTGTCAGGGAGGACTTCGCTTTGAAGCAGAAACTTTGTTGGAGTGGTTTTCCTTGCAAACAGAGAGCCAGGCTGCATTCCAGGCAGCTGAGTCAACAAATGCATAAGCAGCCGTTTTCATCCAAATGGCTAGAAGGTAGGGATCCAGTTAGGGAAGGAGCCTGGAAAGGTAGGTCTATAGTTGATTATGTAAATGGATTTTTATTTCACAGGTGATGGAAAGTCATTTTAGGAAAATATTAGTCAAACTTTAAGTTTAAGGAATTTGCTTTGCAATACTATGGAAGGTGAATTTGCAGGCAGCCTATACCAACATGTATTAAGCTCATAATGTATAGTAGGATTATGCTAAATATTTTAAGTATATTAGTCCATTAAATCACCACAATAAACCTATGAGTACATATTAGTGTCTCATTTTATGGAACAGGAAATAGGCATAAGAAGGCTTCAATAACTTCTCCTATGCTTGGTGAATAAGTGTGGAAACTGGGATTATATTCAGTTTGCGTAAACTCAAGGTCTGTGTTCTT